GTGCAGCTGTGATTTATAAAGGAAAGATGCGCAGAAACGTGTACGCTTTTGGTATGGTTTCCACGCAATCCTTTATAACTGAGACCCCTGATGCTGCTCCTGGTTAGTACATTATCAGTTAAATACATCCTGAACTTAATTAGATGGAAAAAAAAAAGATCAACTCACTCTGTTGAGCAATGTGGTGCTGATGGATTTAACTATGTAGTTGTCATCTATACGCAGCTTCTTCAGGTTTTCATAGAACTTATCTGAAATTTAGAAGCAGAGTTCAAATTTGTTAAATGTATATTTTACATTGTACAACTTTATCAAGCTGTGAAACAACAAAAAAAAAAAATTGGGACGACATAAAAAACAACATATACTAAGTAAATCACATAAATATTGACAGTATCATTAAAAATTAGTTTATGTTCCACACTGCAAAAACGGTCCATCTTACCAAGTTTTAAAATCTTATATCCAGCCAAAAAGTCTTTTTGATCTTATTTTGAGACTGATTTACTAAACAAGAACTGATTGTGTAAGAATAATAATCTTGTTTTCAGAATGTGTAAGATTATTTGTTTTGTTAGTCTGAAAATTTGACTCAAATTAAGTCAAAAATTTCTGCTAATAGAGTAAGAAAATTTGACTTGGTAAGATTCTTGAAATTAAAAAAATGAGTCAAATCAAGTATTTTAAGAATCTTACCAAGTAAAATTTTCTTACTCCACTGGCAAAATTTTCTGAGTAAATTTGAGTCAAATTTTCAGACTAACAAAACAAATAATCTTACACATACTGAAAACAAGATTATTATTCTTACACAATCAGTTCTTGTTTAGTAAATCAGTTTCAAAACAAGATCTAAAATACTTTTTGGGTGGATATAAGGTTTTAAAACTTGGTTAGGTGGACATTTTTTGCAGTGCAATTCTGTGCTTGATGCCCATTTAGCTATCAGTTGTTATCACTAGTGATTCATACTGTCACAATATCCGTAACTGAATAAGTTTCATTCACATGTCTGAGGATAAACATAAAATAGTTCAAATGCAGCACTCACAGTGCTCTTCCAGCATGTCATCAAGGCTGGGAAAAATGGCATCGAGCTCTAAAGAGGCCATGAATGCCTCTCTCTCCAACGGCTTGACAAACACCATCTGAAGGACACTCAGCATTCTCACATGAGCGTGTTCTGTTGCAAACAGTTCTAGGAAGAAGAAAAGATACAGATTTATCAAACATAGAATTAAAGACCTACATTTCTTTCTATTTCTTTTTATTTCATCTTGCTCCTTCTCACCATTTATGACTTCCTGCCTCTTGACCTCCTTGTTGCTGAGGTGCTTTAAAGCATCAGGAGGCGCCAGCTCCTTCCAGTTGGGGGGATCCTGCTCAAACTCTAGGAGGCGAGGCTCTATCTCCTCCAGCTGTGGGGAGGGACTGGTGGGCRAATGGTTGGGACCATCACCTGTCCCATCAAAACTAACAGAGGAGAAGAATTAGTTTAGAAAGATCACCTTTAAAAAAACATGCATTGAACAGACAGCACTAAAAAACAATACAAGTTCTTTCTGAATATTTTTTACTATTATTTTTGTTATTTAAAAGGAGACATATCAAGCTTTTAAATCCTTCTTTTACACATTTAAATCATTCAGTTGGGGTCTCTATAAAGTGGAACTGAGATGCTTTGGTCTTAATTCCTCCTTACTGTAACTCCAAAAGCCCCTCTTTTACCCTACTTCTGAAGTGTGTTAAAAATGTCAACAATGGAAGACTTGTCCATCCAGCCTTACATGATCAGAGAGGAGGAAAGGAGAATGAAGACGACACGTGTAGTTGGTAAGTGCATGTCTTCTTTAGGAGTTCCGTCGCAAATACTGTGATGTAATAGTTTAGAAAACGTCATAGAAAATCGRGAAAACTGAATGGGTTGAAAATTATTGTCCAAACAGAATATAAAGATATCTTTGCAGCACAAGGAGAAACTAAATTAAACTTTTCTGCACTCCTAGGGACTCCAAATGCACAACAAAATGCACTGAATGGCTAAAAATGTGGATTTTGCATGATGTGTCTCCTTTAAAACAACAAAGCACAACACAAAACCAAATAGAAAAAAAAACAATACATTTCTTTCAAAATGTAAACAAAGAACATCATAATAATTAAAAGTTGTTCTACAATAACCTCACACATTTCAATATAAAACCAGTTATTTATTTATTTATTTATTTATTTATTTATTCATTCATTCATTCATTCATTCATTCATTCATTCATTCATTCATTCATTCATTCATTCATTTTACAAGAACCCAGAAATCTTCTAACTTAGAATCACCCGGTCATCAAAAACCTCAGCCAGGCTATGATAAAAAAAAAAAGAATCCAAAGAATTTTTTCACTACAGATATTTTCCTTGCTTTGCTTATATCTAAGAAAAAAAAATCTGCTAAATGAGAAGCTGAATTTGGACACCGACATTGTAACACGACAAGAAAGTGCGGATGTTACGCACACACTGGTTGGGGATGTGGAACAACGTTCAAATGTTGCTAAAGCAATGAGCCGAGGGGAAACACTTAATGAGTTAAAATTAGTGCTTGACTGAAGCTGACCTCTGTTAGCCTACTTGCGATTCTGTAATATCTGGTGTGAAACTGACGGTGGTTGTAATGTTTTAAATTAGGCAATATTTAACCCTTTAATTACAGGCTGCTCTTTGATATTTACTACAGAGTATAAATCTAAMTGAACAATCCTTCCCTTGAAAGGTGAAGTGCCTCAAATGAAATGAGACTTCTGTTTGTGTGTTTCCTCACTTCCTGTTGTGATCAACAAAAGTTCAAGGCATTTTTTTTGCTTGTTTGTTTCAGAGGGGAAGACACGCTTTTAGAAAATAATTTAAATTGTAAAAATCGATTGCAATGCCTTTAACTAAAAATGACTTAAAACAACCTTAAATCTCATTCRACTAATAGTTCTGAATATGAACACTTTTTCATCTGCAAGAACATGACATCCTGTCTGTCCCTGCTGTGCACTTCTCCAGCCAGAGAGCCATTAGAGTTTGCCCAGCTTACGGGTGGAGGTGCTGGGGGGAGAGTGGGACGGGTGTTGTGCAAGTTGGAGGCTGCAGGTCCACGTCGCTTCGGGAGCGAGACTGTTTGCCCCGAGAAGAGCCGCGGCGCCGGGACGACTGGCGGTCCACGCGGGCGCTCTCGCTGCGTGCCACTTTCCTACTGAAGGAAGGGGAGGTGGAGGAGGACGGGGGGTGGGGGAGCAGGAAGAAGAGGAAGACAGAAAACAGGGACAGAAAGAAGCAGTGGTGGTGGTGGGGGGTGGGGTACCAGGAACAACAAAAATAAAGAAGAAAAAGAGAGAGGAAGGAGAGTAGACAGAAGATTCCAAAAGACAGTAAAAAAGGCAAAAACATTGAGATATTAAAGAGAAAAAAACATGCAAACAACAAGGATGAAATTTGAAATTATTATAAGGGTAAAGATTATGATGGGTGAGTTAAGTCAATTACAGATTAACAGATACAACAAAGATAATAAGAAACTGAATGAAAAGTAAGTATGCATGACCTATAACATGCATACGATATATTTTGGTTAAACATGTAGTATGTTTRGACACGGTAGCATTTGATGCCACTCAACACGAGTATGTTAAGCAGCCATGCATTGCGTCTACTTTTCTCACTACACTGCAATAACAGTCAGTTAAGCAACAACAGGTCTTTTGTCTCAACAATTCTTCACTTCTCTATAATTAACGTCAGCTCATACTTAACCAACCGTTCTCCACAACTGAGCTAATCCAGTTTTAAAATACTTAGCCAGTTTGTGTTGAATCATAACAGGAACACAAGGCTCTCTGTGAGGTGTGTGTGTGTGCATGTGAGTGTTGTGCTCTCTGCTTCGCATCGTATGTGAACAGAATAAGGCCTGAAGCAAGTCCGTGACTCTGTCAGGGCGCAGACACCCACCTTGTCTTCCGTCTGCAAAAACAGGGGACACAACCACACCGTTACACACTCCCCTTTACACAGCTGTCGTCAACCACAGTGACAACCATAACATGCAGGCGCACCACCCCAAAGTGAGATCCTAACTGTGCTATTGTTAGACCAACGTCCGAGCTGCATGCCAGRCACGGCGCTAAAGCTTCTGGCATAACATGTAACCGCACAAACTGAGGAAGACAAGCAAGACGAAGGACGGGCCCTGACCGCCACAGACACACACACCTGGACAAGCACATACATTGAGCAGCTAATGGTCTGAGCTGTGTCTATCTGAACTAAAATGTGTTGCTTGCTATTGGCTGCTAAAATGACCAATACGACATGAAGATTACTTGCTTTTTTAAATAACTATGCAAAATGTTCACAATTTGGCAAAACAGCCAAACCTGCTTTCTTAACAGGAAGCTTCACATKTGGAACTATAACAAAGGCATCAGTATGAAGGAAAATGTCAGTGTTCTGCTACAATTTACCTAAAAGCAATGGAAATAAAATATCAAAATTTGCAACAAAGCTCTGATGTAAAAATGAGAAGAATCAGGACAAAAACACAAGAGACAGAGTGACGGTATGGAAAGGGGACGTGTTATTACTGTACGAGGAAGAAAAATGAGGAAGGTAAGAAGAGAGAGGGAAGGCAGAGGGGCCGAGTCCACGTTCACCTGGTGAGGGTCTTCCTCAAAAAAAAAAAAAAAAACAACTGCAGGCTCTGTTAGCTAGCGAGCGACGGGAGGCGGAACAAAAGCTAGCACACAGCAGGGACAGASGGCTGGGGGAGTTTTACCACGCTCCCTCAACCTGCGCAGTTCAGGCACATTTTGCTTCCCCCCAGATTTCCCGTGGTCACGCATTATAATCTGATCCTTAATCCTTAGTGACCCATTATACCAAGGTTTGCACTCCCCAAAGGATGCTCTTTTCATCACCAACTCCAGCGTTTTTACCTGTCTGTATCCAAGGACTCCACTGAATGGGTTTCATTTGGTGAGGTGGGCTCCACAATGATAGGCTCACCCCCAGGGGACACACTGCCACTGTCGGGCACAGCCTGAGGTTCTGAACCTGTAAGATTCGGAAACAAAAACATCTATATATACAAACTATAAAGCGTTGTAGTTAACATTTTTACAAGAGAAAGGCAGACAAATCATTTTGAAAGGTAATAAAACAGCAACAGAACAATGTTTGTGTTTGAATTTGAAAGAGAACCAAAAATTAATACTTTGCACAAGAGGTCAACTATATCAACGACTATTTCACCCCTGTGAAATTATTGCATTTTTTTGTATATCGTCCAATCATTTCTATTTCTATGGCACATGCTCCTGCATCTCCACTCCAGGTTTTAAGGTGGGTGTTATGTATTTCCCAGGCACAMAGTTCAATTCTTTACCTAAATTGTGTTACTACATTACCTTCAGTTGTTATGAAAAAGATGTCAATATCAAAAATAATTTTGACTTTGCATCAAAGCCTTGAAATTGATCTCTGTCTCTTTACAAACCTCCTCCCGTTTCAGACACTCCCACTTCAGCATGTCTTCAAAACAATGCTTTGGGGGAGGGGTGCTCTGAGGGGTAGGAGTTCAGCTGCAGACTGAGCTCCAGGGAGGAGCTTTGTACCAGCAAGTGTTTAGGCAGCTCCACGTGGCTACCACAGGAGATGCAAGGATTTCTCAAACATGAATGAACACKCTGGGTATGTTTTTGATGAGGGAATGACATCATAACATGATATAAAGCTCAAAAAAGRCAATTTTGCATAATACCCGCTCTTTAAGGATGTATTCACACCTGACACATTTGGTTCTCTTTAAACAAACCAGAGTTTGTTTCCCCCGTTGGTCCAGACCTTTTATGCAGGTGTGGTGAATACACTCMTGAGAACACTGGTGCGGACCAAAAAATTGGATGGAGACCCACRTTTTGAGGTGGTCTCGGTTCGTTTCTAAATTAACTCTGGTACGGTTTGCTTCTGGTGTGAATACAGATCGGCCTCAACCCAAACCAACTACAGGAAAMATACTTTTTAGACTTCACGAGTCACCATTGCTAAGCAACATWRTAAAAATAAGCCCTTCASTGTTGCTAATGCTACAACTACATGGACGCTACAAACATGGACCGATTTGGAGCGACAAGGAGACACTGTGCCTCTTCGATATCTGGGCACATGCACACATAACAGACATAACACATGCAGCATGCAGGACCTCCAACTTTCTAAAAAAAAAAACCGAAATGAATAAATAGATAAAAACTTTCTTTCTTTCCAGGCCTGTTCTCTGTACCACCCCCRTCATTTCTGTCCAGTGGGACCAATGAACGTCATGTGGCTTTGTTTATTAATTATAGTCCACTTGCAWTGCAAATGTGAATAYAAACCACTGGACCAACACCCTATGAAATCATTCTTTTTCATGCTATTTAGAGAGAACAGGCAGATTGTGGGTTCCTGGGTTTTCACCAACTTGTTACACAACCTCCTTCCCAATCTGCCTTCTTTATACAGATATTTAGCTTCACGATTCCATTTGTATTTAACGTAATAGTTGCTAACTTTATATTGTTTTATTTAATCAGTGTCAATGTACAGTTTTACCATCAGTCTGAAGGGACTCCGGGTTAGTGGGGGCACTATTTTTATTGCCTGACCCCTCAGGATTCTCTGTGTCGGGCACTGAAGTCGGACCCGCGGTGCTGACAGGCACTCTGGGGGTAGGGACTGGATTTTCCGACGTGGAGCCTCTGCCTGGCAAAGTGGGTTTACGAACCACAGGAAGCTTTTCCACTGAAAAGGAGAAGTGAGACATTTTTAAACGCAAAATAAATACCAATAATGTAAGTGCAGATTAAGGAGAAACAACAACCCAAAAGCACATCAGTCAGGACACAGTGYGAAGTCAGAAAAATAATTTAGGTGAGCACGGTGCAACCAGGGACCTCTGCGGTAGATGAGAGGGTTAGTTCAGTAAAAGGTAACGTCCACAAGCTTTAGGTGAGCTTTATTTGGACACTATAGCTAATTATCCACACATCCTCCACTAAAAGCAAAGTGAAACAAAAATTGAAAGGTGCCCCACACACATCCTCTCCCAGTTTGATATCAAACATGCAAACATGCATTTGGTTTGATTAGTAGGGAGGTAATCATTCTACGAATGGACACTGAATACCTCCTCCAAGCTCCGTTTTTGATCCAGGTTCAGCTGTAACAGGAAAGAAAGGCAGGACACGTTCTGATGTGCAAACCATTCATCAACATTAATATGTCAAAATGACCAGAAACGGTCTCTATATTTGTAACATCTTCAAAGATTTGTATTTCTACAAGTTGCAGATAATTGAAAGTTATTAATAACGGTAACAATAATGATACAAAGAAAAGAGCATATTCATACGGGTTTGTGGTTTCCTCTGTTTATAGAAGGGTACAGGCCTGATCCTAGTGCTGTCCTTTGTACCCTGGAACAACAACACATTTGAAGTACAGTCAAAATCCGATCTAAGGTTTGCAAAAATTAAATAAAACATTGCTCAATTTAGGTTATCTAACAGGAAAGAGATGATGTCCTGCGTCAATGACAGTGATTTACCTTCCCCAGCGGAAAGCCAAAAAAAGCTCGCTTGGACTTTTTATTATCAATACACTTGGATTTAATCCCCAGGTGCTTCATGTAGACAGACACCGCAGAAAAGATGGATTGGCTAGGGGAAAAATGTAATATACAGGTGAAACGTTAAAACTTGATCTGGGTGTATGACAACATTTGCACAGATTTGCATAATTTTCACTTAAAACTTGAAAATTGTTTAAAAGCTCAGTCAAGTTTGGGAAACCTGAATTATCTGCTTAATTCATATTTCACATAAAAGCTGCATTGAAGTGGCTTTTTGATGTACAATAAGGTTTGTTTGCTCAGTCTCAGGAGAAAAGGGCCTAATGTAAATAAAAAAAGGGGTACAGTTGATACAGTCATGCAGTAAAGAGGAGGGGTGGGTGGTGGAGGAGGGGGCAGTTATTATCCAGAGGAGGAAGAGAAGGAGGAGATAAAAAAGGTGGAAAGAAGACAAAACAGGAGTTTAATTGGTTAGAAAATATTCCTCACATTAAAAACCACCACACAGTTTAAAGGTTKTATCTAGATTTCAATAACTAACAACTTAAAAGTCTGATCAAAGTGCCCAAAAGATATACACATCTGGGTTTAATCAGTTCTTTCCTATGAAGAMAATTATTTAATCTCAATTAGATTAAGCATCACTTCAAAAAAAGTCAGAACATACAAAAAAACACGTATTATGTTTGGTTATTTTAGAAGAAATTAATATTTTTTAGGTGCTTTTGTCTTTAATCAGTATGCAAATGTCTTGCAGACCGCACCCAGGCCACACATGCAGAGATTAAATCCACCCAATGTGCACAAACACAAAAATAGGTACGCTGTGCCCAAATTTGGAACTCACCATTTTTCTTCGTCCGAGACGAGCTGAAGCCTGAGAGAAAAAGAAGAGAAACAGGTGTCAGGAGAACACAAAGCACKGTTTACCCACAGTGCAGTGTCAAGCTTACCTCTTCCTTTTAAGTACCATTTTTTCTTTCACTTTTTCGACTGATTACTGTCTCTGTTTTGGGTCGGTGGAATCTAAAGTGACTACGCTTTTCTTGATTCAACTCAAAGCTGACTATTGTGTTGTGTTCAGAGCTGAAGCTTTTTAGCATATTCTAAAACTTCCACAAAAAGATGAAAAAAAAAAAGAAAAATCAAAAAGCTGAAATCAAAAGCATCAAGTTTTTCCACTTATGCTTGCTATAATAAATTTAAGACTCAACCTGAACACTTACAGATATGAAAATAAAACAATCTACGTTCTCCAAAGTGCCTAACACTATCTGCTGTGGGTCGGCTCTTCTGTAAAAACGTCWGCAAAAGGGATCCAGAATCAGAAATGCTCCAGCACAGCGGAAACATCTATTTAACCATGTTTTTGTCTGATGCAACATGCGGGCAAGACCGTGGAAATCTGATCCTCGTGTTTTGAGATGAACATGTAGGATGGGGAGGGCTTTCCCTGGGATTTCCCCGAATTATCCAATCAAACGGCCCGACCACCTCGTTTGCATCAGCACAGAGACCAATGAGCGACGGATGGAGGCGAGGTCACTGTGCTGTGGTCAAGCGAGAGGTGCGGGAGGAGATTTTTAAAAGCTTGGGGAATAGAGAGATGATTGTCTGCAGGAATGAATAGAATGAGGCTGAATGAAACATTTGTGCAAAGACAGACATCCAACTGTGTGACAGCATCTGAGGGAGTCTGATGCTGAATTTAATGTCTTTGATTAAGATTTATCAGCCTTATCATGTCCTCTCCATCATCATTGTTGATGTTTCCACATGATGACAGTGGATAGCACACATTGCACGTCCCTGCATTTCCACTTTTTTTGCCTTCACCTGACAAAATGAAGCTAGACAGTCTTCTGCCCTCTCCTTGGCCTCTTTTCCCTTTCTGTCAGATTTGTTTCTCGTAGAGGATAACACAGTGTAGTGACATGTGGGGTCAAAGATAGATTAACTTTCCCATGGATCTTGAGCTTTTATTTCTTTCTTTCACTGAATTTAAAACCAAAACTATCCAGCGTTGATAACCCTCTGGCCCTTTTGCTTCTCATCTCTTCCAGAGTTTTACACCCTCCACCCCTAACCCTCCCCAAAAAAAGCTGGCAAAAAGCCAGCGGAAAGTCTTCCTGCCAACGTGGCATTGCTGCCTCCATCTTTACTTCCTTCTTACGGTGCTTTGTGCTCCTCRGTTTGTTTTTTCAGCTCACCAGCGCACATTTCCTACTTTATCTGTTGCTTGTGCTCTGCGTCAAAGTTGCTATGAACACAGCAGACGTTGTGAGAAATTTACTTCAGAGACAACGTGGTTAGTTACATAATGAAAAAGCAAAACAACAACCAGAAAAACAGGCGTTACTAGCTTGTAGATGGGTAAAGTTTCACTCACATAGGATTATTTCTAAAATGAGTCATTATTAAGCTTAACAACACTAATATTTTGTATTCAAGTAAAGCCTCACAGCCAAACCAARTGCAAGATGAGCTCAAACTGTACGTCTCTGCAGATAATTAAAAAAAGATGAATGAGAAGGCTTTATGCCCTAAATAACTCTTGAAAACAAGAGAAAGCCACTTACTGTGTTTCAGTCATCTTCTCCAGCAGGTTCTCAGCTGTAGATTTTTCTTTCATCTCCATCGGGATGCGGTCGGTGGGATAGTGGCTCTCGACATCAATCAGCTCATTCTCACTGAGGGTCATACCCATCATCCGCTTTTGCCTGATTAACACAAAGCAGGGTGTTGGACAAAAAGTTTYTCAAAGGTAAAACAAAAAGAATATAATTTAAACAACGTGTCAGTCTGACTGTGAGGAATCACCTAAAGTGAAATATTGTATTTTAACTTCTATTTGCTCAAAAACAACGTTTGTTTTAATGTTTATGATGTTGTACAAATCCTAACTAACCAGGGGAAATTAAAAATGCACAATAAAAGCTTAGAACTCAGGAGGATAAAACAGTCTGCACAAAGTGGGACAATAGTAGTGGGGGCAATTTTTTTGTTTTGGGGGTGGCTATTGCTTCCCTCCTTAGTGGCACCCCTGGTACTTGTGAATGAAAATTAAAAATTAAAATACTTTTTGTAAATTTTGATACATGCATTGTACTTAGAATAAGTTTAATTTGTTTACTAACCATAGTTTTCATGAAGACTRTTTAACAGGTATCAGCATTATTCATATGTAAAAGAAAATTAAATATATTCATGTTTACCAGCCAACASTGCAGCAAGAAACTGAACTAATCATGTTGTAGAGCAGACTACAACAGCCAAATTAAGAAAATGCACGTTTTTCCTATCAAGACATAATTATATARATAAAAATGTGGTGTAAAAAGTCCCAAAAAGAGCTGATAACCGCAGCCCAGCGTCACCCAGAAATAAAGAAGCCATGCAGCTGAGAGGGAAGCTTTCTACCTGAAATCCTCCAGCTGTTTAGATATTTCAGAACACTGCTGATTCTGAATCTCCTGAGCGTAACGTCTTTGGGTTTCATCTGAGAGCAAATCTGGGCGGATCCGGTCTTTATAAAAGGAGAAAACAAAACAAAACAAACAAACAAAAAAAAAAAACAGAAGTGTAAAAATGAGCTCCAAAAATAATCATATGAAAATAAAGCACATTTGCATGATTTTAAGTTTGTATCAATTGTAAAACAAACAAAGCAAACAGACACAAAAATACTGGAAAATAACTTACCCAGCTCATAAGATACAGTGGGTGGCACTGTCACTCTGAGAATCTGAAACAAATCATACAGGTACAAAAAAGTATTTCATTTTACACACGATTCCAAGAAATAAGATACACTTCATTCATATATTATGCCCACATGTATAAAGTTTAATCTTCAATGTGAAAAAATAAATAAATAAAAAATCTGGTGCAGTGACTTTTTCTCTCCACAGGGGGTCATTTTAACACTAGAAATAAMAATGGACTAAAAATCAAGCACCAGGTAGCAGAAGAGCAGTACAAATTTGTCACTGACATGAAAATAGCCACACAGGCTAATTTAAAGTCAGTGAACGTCACAAGGAATTTATTTATTTTTTTGGACTGTTTTTTTTTAAGCGAGGCAGATGGATGGATGATTCCTCCTGTGGGGATTATCTCACGGTCCTGACAGGAAGTTGTTGGGTTTAAAGGCAGACAGAGAGAGAAGGAGTGCAGGACAAAACCAGATCAGCTGAMACATGGAAGTGCTGAACAAAGGAAGTCTGATGAGGAGGTGCAACAGGAGYGACAGAGGCCAGGTGTGCAGGGAGGAGGGATGTAAGAAAACATGCAGAGGCTGAGGGGAGCTGMTCTGATTGGGAACAAAGAAAACAGAGCTGGGACGCAGCAAACACAAAGAAGCCATGTTCACATTGTGTTCTCCTGTCTTATCAGAGCCGTTTAGGGATGACAGCTGAGCAGTTTACAGCACACAACAACAGGTTTTTAAGTACGTGCATTACTTTTAAATAGGTCAGAGTTTTAAGTGATGCAAAGTTAACAAGATTATTATATTAAAAAAATGGAAGCCCAAAAGTAAATTGTCAAAGCAGCAAAATCCATACAACTTWAATTCAATGTGTTTTCTGTTTTTATGTACACTTATTTTACCTGCATCATAATTTCTAATGTTTTATTTAGGTATGTGATTTTGATGATGCTCTGTAAAGTTTAGTTATGCTAAAATATTCATACTCTTAAGTGTTTTGAAAATAGTCTTGTTAGTTAGCTTTTTGTTTTTTTACTTTGTTTTTTATAAAAGTAATATCCCCAAAATATATTTATTTTTATCCAAGTGTTAACAAAACCACCTCCAAGCTGCACAGTTGAGAATGTAATCACTATTGAGGCTCTGTCCATGTTCACATCAGATTTATTGGACTCCATTTGAAGAAAAACAATCAAATCTTTGTTTCATTTGACTAAAACATGCAGCAAATGATCTTAAGCATTATTGAAGTTTGTAAGAAAGAGCATTTTTTATTAAATTATGGTTCAAAAAAGTACAAAAGGAGAACATATTATGATCTCCTTCTAGTCAGACATTATGCAATGTGTTGTGCACTTTGAGCTGATCCACAAACTGTGATTACCACTGGTACAGTACCCTTCACACACAGTCTGGACCAGCTAATTTGCAGAGCTACGCTGTGCTCTGTTTGCACTCACTGCAACTCTGATTGCTTTTCTATAGCTCATTTTATACCWCCCAACGCTTACATATATTTATTTTTCATTTCCTTGGAACAACATTTTCCAGATCCCTTATCATACTTTACCTGTTTAACCGGGCCTGACACCATAACAACTGCAACGGAAGTACAGTACTTACAAAGTCAAACATACGGGCGGTATACGACAATGCTGCTGTAACTCAGCTTATTTCACATTATGAGCTTGTTGCACGTCAACACACACACACACACACACCGATGTGACACTGACCAGATTCTGTTTGGACTGTGTGAGAGACCAAAGCAGAGCTTCAACAGTTCTGCTCTTAATCTGGACCTGAAGCTTTGATTTAGGCCTTCAGWTTAACATTTAAGTGACACCTCACATTAATACTCAACTCCACTGTGCAATGAGAACTAAACAACTAATAAACATCCAATTAATATTAATCCCAGAAGGCAAATTTGATGTTATCAAAAAGCCTTTTTCACATTCTAATCAATTAGAWTTTAAATGCACCAAATATATCATGAAGATCTGTGCATCAATTACAGCACAATAAGAATGAAAACATCTTCCAGGAGCTGCAACACATTTTCCGTTTGAACATATTATGATCAATTTAATGTATGTTTTGTTTTGAAAAACAGCAGTTTTTTAGTTTAACCTTTGCRGGTTTTCCATTAAAAATTCATTTTAATGGACATTATATATATATTGTATAAAAAATACAGTGATGTTCTACTTACAGCACCCTTGTCCAAGAAGTTGCTGTGGAAATCCACAAACAGTTTTTTAGTCTCTTTCGCACTGAGGTTCGCACTGAGGTTCTTGATGAGGTCAGCATGAAGGTAACACAGCTGAGATGGGAAACAGAAAGCATGAGTTCAGTTTTTTTATTTATTTCATTCTTACTTTCACATTCCTTCTGGTAACGCTTTGCTAAAGTTTCTGTGCGCAGTAATCATTGCACCTGCAGGAAAACTACGTCACCTGCCTGGAACTATGGACAAGAAAAAAAAACAACCATCAGCTAAATCTGGCACAACTTACCTTCTCTCTACTAAAAATATTGTTATTGTGCACATTCTCATTCACATAACCTAATAAACTGCACTTAAATCTGACATCACTTCTAAAGGCAGTTTGGATACACTTGCACATAAAACATTTCAATCTAGTTCAGTCAGGATATTGCCAAAACTAATTTTGATCATTCTTTTAGTTTGTGCTCATTTTTAGTCCTGAAAATAAAATTAAAAAAAATCACTAAAAAAGTATTAGAGATACTGGGTACACACTAAAAGAGAAACCTACAAATACAAAGAGGAATAACACAWATGAATGTTTAAAATCTGTGCACAATTAGATCTTACAAAATGCTACACTACTGGTGTRATAAATGCTGAGGTATGGGGGGAGGAATGACTGGAAAATGTGCAAAAATACCTGAAAAGGTCACAGTGTCTGCATGCAGAGGAAAGGGGAAAAGACAGGTATGCTTTATTTGGGAACTGCCAAGGACACAAACACTGATAAACCACACTGAGTCACGCTGAATAATTTCATGACCTCWTAACAAGTTTGTACAACTTTATGATAATATATCAAACAAATTTAAAAGTAATTTCCTACATTTAGTTCTGGCATTCAACCTGAAAATCTCCATTTAACTGAAAAGTTTTTKCAGTGTTTCAAAGTGGCTGCTGTGAAATCTTTATTTTCTATTTCTTTAGATTCTGACGACTCAAACTTTGTAGATAAGTCACATTTTATTTTGTTTTATAAATAATAACTTTTCTGCTGTACAGTTTACAGGATATGAGCAGAGTCAATGAAGTATGGGGAAGATACAATGTAAATTAKGTATAGAAAAGCAGCTAACTAATCAATCATAAAAAGCTGTGACATTTTTCAAAAATCTGATCCAACCACCAAACTGACACRCTATGCATAACCAAAGATAGAAATTACTACAGGAAAAAACTAAAATTAATCAGACATGTCTGAATATTAGGACTAACAAAGAATCCTTTTATTGAACTTTTTTATTTTATAGTATCTAAATATTAGCCGTACGACTACGTCCACATTGCAGGAAAATGCAACCTGATTTTTTTTGCCCCATGTGACCCAAATCACATTTTTTCCTGACGTGATGAACGTGACAAATCTGATTATTTTATAGTATCTAAATATTAGCCGTACGACTACGTCCACATTGCAGGAAAATGCAACCTGATTTTTCTTGCCCCATGTGACCCAAATCACATTTTTTCCTGACGTGATGAACGTGACAAATCTGATTTTTTTAGAATCTGACCCAGGCCTCTTCAGTATGTGGTACTGTCTGATACATATCTGATGTGTTTTTAAAGCAACTGCAGTCTGAACGCTTGTCTGACTTTTAAATCTGTGAGGTGGGGGTGAGCGGATCGATCCAATAATAATGACGCTAAAGTTGGAGATCCTAAAGTTACTCGATCAAAGTTTTACGGTTAGCACGTTGCTTTGTTCCAAAAATAAAATGCYGCACCGGAGCATCCGTCAGAGGTGGGTTCATATATAAACACTGAACTAAACAAGCAGGYMGGATAATTATTTCATCAGCTCTGATTGAACAACTTCAGAATTGACATGCTAACATGTAGCATCYGTAGGCTACTTCTGCAAACGAGTTGTGTTGCATGTGACATCATGTGATCTTCTACGTATGCAGGTCACAACAGGACCGTGTAGAGTTCATACTGGAGTCTGATGGAAATCAAACTTAAAATATAATGTCAACACAATATATATATTACATATATCTCAGTATGAATGTAGCTTAAGTTGCGGTCACCCTACAGAAAAAAAATGAGGGTTGACACCTAGTAAGAGAAGCCAACAACACRGCATTTTAAAAATGGTCATTCTCACCAGGGGAGCAGGATCAAACTGAAGAATGACATGTTGCAAAAAGACCAGCAGGTGAGTTGGATGACCCTTCAGCTCCTCGATGTTGTTGAAGAGCTTAGACTGATTTTCAGTCACCCGTGACTGTTAAAAGAAAGAAAAAAAATTAAAGTTGGTAACAATTATAGATAAAAAAACAAAAGTCTTTTCTTCACTCACATCATTTATATCACTCTCAAAATCCTCATCTTCAGCCCCGATGATGCTCATGGCTGAGTCAGAGCACTGAGCTCCAAACACAACCTGCTAAAAAAAAGACAAAGAAAGGGGGGTGGGGAGAAGACAATCTGTTATGACAATGTTCTTTACTTTGAACTGGCAGCAATCTTTGTAGCCTACAGAGACCCCACAGAGGCAGACAATATAGTGCCGACACAGAAAAAAGGTCATTTTCCTACATTCTAATCCAAACAAATATAAAGACATTTTAAGCAGTTTCTCACTTATAAGTGGAGAAAAGGAGAAATGTAAGAGTTTATCTATTTTACAAACAGAGAAATCAATTAGTGATTTCAAAAGATAAACTCCAGCATGTGTGTTACAAAACCACTGAAAATTGACATACATATAGTTTTGGTGCTGAATTTGAGTGAATACTTTCTTTTGAAGCTGAGGTTAGACCCAGTCTACGGCTTCTTCCGGATACCATGACACAAACCTTTAAAATTKAAAAATAAAACCCATCTTACCTTACAATTAAATTTAAATATTATAAAACAATACTTGCCTTTGACGAGTATAAAAAAGGAGTTTAAAAAAAGCCTGAGAACATAGTACAACATTACCTCCACCCTTTGCACCCAGCGTGGCTTCCTCTTCCCCAAAACACACAAACAACACACAGCTCTTGAATTGAGTCCTCTGAAGGCCACAGACCCAGAGCTGCCACCAGGGAACACCCAAATTCACAGAAAAACACATCAAACAGCTGCACTGTGCAGGGCTGCCTGAGAACACTGGACAGTGTGTGAGACGGTAAAGTAGAACTTTATTAAGAGAAGAGGGGACCAAACAATTCCAGTAATACCTGCAGGAAAGCAAAAAACATGGAAGGAGTGGCATCAGGATGTAAGTATAGATCTTTGAACTATTCAGAATAATTTTGATCTATAAAAGGCTTTATTTGTATGAAAACTAAAACTTCAGTCCTTGTGCMGAGCAGGACTGAACACATGATAAACTCCACCAGCAGCAGCTTTACTGGAGCTATAAAAAACTGGAAACTAAAAGGGACTTTTCTGATGTGATGCTTCTCTTTTTTAAAATCAAAGAACGTTTGTGAATAAAACACAAATAGAAAACAGAAATCACTGGCCTTATTGACCAGCTATTATATCACTTTTTTTTTTTCAAATTAAAAAAATCACAATAAATAATGCTGTCTCTTATGGTTATTTTTTAATGCAACTGTTTGAATAAAAACCTACTACTCTTTCTTTTTTCTACCCAACTCCTACATATAATACTGTTTTTTTTATTGGAAATCGATCAACACAAAAGTAAAAGACAGAAAAAACCTTAGAGTTTCACAACATATTGCAAATATGTTTATAATACAAGATGATTTAATAGTATAGGTTTATAAGACAGTCAACTTTAACTATTCAACCAGTGGTGGGCACAAGCCCGCTAAAGCACAAATCCGATAATTGCGGACCTAAATATTTTGTTTGCGCTTTAGCGGCCTTACTAATTTTTATAATTCATAAGCGGATTTGTGCTTTCTAAAAATAAAATGCAGTATCACTAATAACTAATTATCTACCAGACATTGTTATGTTGAACAGCGGAAGGTATGGCTGTCAATGAATCACAACACACGTGATCTATCGAACAGCACCCCTCCCAGATAAACACACTTATTGAGAAGGTATACGTCCTTGCTGACTGTTGCTTTCGGTCACGGTTCTGATTTCCCACAATGCTTTGCATCTGCTTACGTAGCAGAAAGGCAATGTTTAGAACTCCCTGTCCCAGTAAAAACAGTTAACGTTTGTAATCCATACTAAAATGTTGTATGCATTGATTTATTTTACTTTACAATCGGAGCTCCTTTTATTAAAAAATAAAGTTTAAACGCTGGAGCTCAATACTTGACATAATTGGTCAAAGCAATCGGCCTACGGGGTTTGAGATGCAGAAATGATTTAAAGATGTTATGCTGATGAAGACAGACATCTAGTGGTCAACTGGAGCAACTACATGGAAA